CCCACAGTTCCTGCATTTTGCCTGGTGAATGTTTTCTTCAGTGAAACATTGGTGGACACAGTCTTTCATGTACTTAATCAAGCAGTATTTAGACCAAGGTGCAGTAACTCCCCGGCATATGTACCAGAAAACATATTAGTCCATTTTCTCAGCATGTAGGGCTGGTGATCCCTGCAAAGGGGCAAAGTGAGCCCATGAAGTACCACTGGAGCTCAGCTTGCTTCCAGTAAGCCTGGCCAAGTACAACCTTCGTCTTCCCCCCCCCTTTCAATTTCACAGGTATGCTTCCAGGGTGTGTGGCAGAGGAGCAAAAAGTTACCTACCCCAATTTAGTCCACTGAAATTCTTATACCTATCCTTCAGTACAAGGTACCTTTTTTCTTTTACACAGGTAAGTCATGTACATGGTCATAGTACTCCAGGGTACTGCATTATTCACTCGTAGGATAAGAGTTTAAAATTATAAGCTTGAAACATCAGGTGTTAAAAACTACATTACTGTTGTATAAAAACAGACAGTATGCCTTAATTAAGTGACCACTGATTAAGAAAAACTAGGCTTATTAAAAACTAATACAGAGTTCTGAAAAGTATGTTCAGAAAACACTGCAGACTGAAGAGGAAGGAAATAAAATTTCTTAATGGTAAATCCAATTAAATAGCTAGCGAACCCAAGTGGTGTACTTTTCAAATGACTGTTCTGCAAAGACTAGACCACGTACCAAAAACATGCAATTCAAAAAAAAATTACATCAAAATTGATTTAATTTAAAACAGAATGTAAACAAAACTGCATATTCAAGATAGTTTAATATGGATTTTCTGATTTAGAAATATCACTTTCTTAAATGAAAATTACTTGTGTAATGACCAATTTCTCCCCAATCACTGAATTACATTATTTACACATATAATACATATCAGATTGCAGTTGAAAACATTATTAAAATAAAATGTTTTAATAGATACAAAGGATCTCTTTTCTCCATAACACAGCTTTACAGGGTGTCCAAAACACCCATTTAAAAGTAATTCTCTACTAGCATTAAGCTATTTAAGTGCAAACAGTTATTTATTTTTAGGAAAAAACCCTATGATTGCAGCATCCATTTTCCTGAATTACAATTGTTAAGCCAGAAAATTACTTTCATTTCCCATGACAGCATTCCAGGCTTACCATCTCTGGTTTAAAAAAATCAGTGCAAAAAACCAAACAACTGTGAAGTACTAACCATTAAACTCACTTGGATCGAAGAAAAGTTTTACTTTACACTATATATCTTATTAAATTATACTGAACTTGGAAAGTATAAAGAAACTGGAAAAGTTTCACTATTTAATTGCAACACCAAAAGAACCATTTTTAAAGCAAAATTCTTCTTTTGGTGCGCAGACTAGAGATCTTAGATGTAAAAATAACTCATTACATTTTTTTGTTGTAAAACACTATGTGATTCACATAACTCCAGGTTTACACTCTGCCTGTAAAGAATTTGTGGTGTTCTCTGGCTGAACAGCAGCTTCTGGTTCCACTGTCATTACTTCTTGTTCTGTGTTCATAGATTTGCTAGCAGGAGTGTGGTGGCTATACTACTGTTCCACTTGGAGAATTGGCCTGGTTTTGGGATGGCAATAAACCCTGCAAACAAAGCAACTTACATTAATCCAGCAAGAGAACCCGACATTTTAGTTTTCTGAATACTTCGTAGATTTCACTGCACAGTGCTTTTGCGTACCCTGTCTCTTTCACTGCACAGTGCTTTTGCGTACCCTGGACTTCTGTCTGGAGGCTATTTGAAACACTTGTGAATTAATTTCACCTTTTTACCCGGTAGCTTGCTTGCTTCCACTGAATGCATCATCCAAACAATTGGGGCATGGTGTGTGTTTTAGGGTTTTCATCTAGGAATCCTAAAGAGTAACCACGCTACGGTGGTATAAGCTTTACACAGACTCATATCTGATGACTTGGCCCTACTCCGCAGAAGTTTGTGCTGGAATACAATAGTTAGCCTCCTGGGTGCCACGGGGCTCTTGGCTGTTTTCATGTGATTCGAAAATGCAATGGGAACATTTTGTGAAAATCAGATCTCAGCTTGTGTTCTGCAAGCTTCTGGACCTCCTAAAAAGCCATGATACCGACGCACTGGGGAAAAAAATAGGTGAGCTGCAAGCTGTGTTTTCACCTAAGATTCCTTAATGTGGGGAAATGAGAGAAAGTTAACTGATCCTTCTAGGTTACTGGCATCCTTTGCAAGAATGCCGTTCAGCCCACAAAGAGCAGACCGATAACATGAGCGATCCCATCCTGGAATACATATTCAGGACTTGGCAAGCTCCAGCCTCATGCTTGAAAGAGTGAGCTTCATGATCACGGGATCTATCCCAGAGACAAGTTGTGGGGTGCTGGACTGTCTTCCTTTGGCCAAGAAGTACCGGCTGGAGAAGACCCCACCCCATTATTGCAAGTGGCACAGTGGGGGGGTTTTCCCCAGCTTGGGAATGTGGCCTTCAGGTGGTCTGCTGGCAAGCAGACATCCTACCCAACAGATCCAATGGTCCAGTTGTCTGTCTAGACACAACATGGATCCTCCTCCTGAGGAAGGAAGCCCCCCCCCCCCGTAAGGAAGAATGAATTTTTCTGCAACCCAGCCCCTTCAGTGGAACGTTACAACCCCCAGTGCTATGCCAACTGTGTTTACAGCCCACAGACTTAAAAAAAAATATCATTTTGGTATATACTAAAAATTTCAGCAAGTGATCTTGGGGCTAGTCCTGCACAGTAAAGCATTGATAGCAGTAATCAGGAACGATGTAACAAATAAAAGCTGGCAAGCTAAGCTTTTAAAGTACTTGAAGAGATTTGCCTTCCCCTCGCCCTGTACCTACTAAACACGATAATGGGATGACAAGGTAGAACTACGCCTAAACCTGCAGGGCAACACAAATACGGTGTTCCATTTTAACAAGTTATGTCCCTTTCCAACATCTTGTTTTGCAGACTTTTTTTTTCTTACCTCGCTTCTTTTTGCAATTCGGGTTGGTCCAGCTCAAGATTCAAGTGCAATTGTAATGCAGAATTAGCTAGTTCCTTCAGAGTCTACAGGAGCTCTTTCTGGCTCTGACCCAAATATTCACAACTGAAAGAAACATTCCCAGCTCTTGAAAACCAGGCTGAATGACAAGGAACCTCCAGACTGGAAGAAATCCAAAGCTTCTCTGACATTTTCATCCCTTAAAATCTTTTACTCCCAAGGTTAACGATTTCTGCTAGAGGCATGGGTGGTGGGGGGGGGAGATGCAACTCCACTGTGATTTGTGCCACATCTATTAATGCCAGGTTGCTAGCAATTTTTTGGGGGGGGTATGCATTCATTTTTCATTTTATATTACAGAGTTATGCACTTCATAGGCTAGCATATCCTAGAGAGTCAGTAGTTCCAGAAGTGCACAACAAACCCGACTTAAAGCCATCTGCTCTGAATAATGTATATTAACAGGAATGAATGGGGAAAGTAGTGAAGAAGAGCGACGTCAGGCCCCTGAACTGTGTACAAAGCTAATATCAGCTATACCCACCATTCTCCAGGAGTGATTCCCTGCCCCCAAGACAGATCTCATAGGCAGAACTGTTGATGCCAGGGGACAGCCCAGTGTAGTGAAAATGTTCTGTCAACACCTGCCTGGAACAACAGCTCATAAAAACTGTCTTGCTCTGTCAGACCAAAGGTCCAGATGAACAACCTTGCTTGGATCTCACCCAAAATCTCCACCGACAGAAGGGTTTCCATAGCATCAGCAAAACGCACTCTCCAACCGCCAAAATCCCCCCCCCCCACTGCTCCTGGTGAACAGGGTACTTAAGTCTGCTGCAAGAAGGGGAATCAGTCCTGTTATGGTCTCCCAACCCTGCCTTACCTGCACTTTAGGATGCAAAAATGTTTATAAAAATTTACATTCCACTTCTGCATGGTGGTTGGGGTTTTTTGTGCCTACTTACAGCCTGAGATTGAAATGTGTGGAGATCCCCAGCATAGCATTTGCCCATTTTTATTTATTGCAGTCACACAATGAGTTGACATTTTTACTGAGTTATCTACCACAACTCCAAGATCTCTCTCCTGGTCAGTTACCATCAGTTCAGACCCCATCAACCTGTATATATATATAGTTAGACTCTCTTCCTGAACTGATCAGATCACTCCCAAGATCTCATGAGACATCTTTCATGCTTGCTGCCAAGTATAAATGCCACAACCTTCCTTTAAAATGAAGCCAGTGTTTCTTCTTTGCTGGGTATCAGATTCTACAGTTGTCTCTGTGCTTGAGTGGATGGCTGTACCTGCCTTAGGCCAAGATGGCCCATCTGCTGATCTGCCTCTAATGTCTGTGAGCGATAGAAGTATTCGGTGTCCTTCTACCCACCACTGCAGAAAGCCACAGTAGCAGACATTGCTGGGCCTGTCCCCCGTGTTTTTCAATAACCACTTACACAAATTCAGGAATACAGCTACCACTGATAGATCTATTTGCCTTAGCCTACAATAAAACTTCCACTGTCAAAGGGAAAATATCCCTGATTTATTTCAGCCATAGTCAACCTTACAGGTGTTGTCGGAAATCTTATTCCTTATGGCTTTTAATCCATCTTTCTCTGATCCGGGCACAGGAGAGATAGGCTACACAGCCAACCATCCCACTTCAAAGAAAATGATGCTGTAGGGCCGCTTCCCTGGTTGAGAGGAGACGGATCTAGGGTAATGGCAGGGTCTCGGTTAATTACTCTCAGCATTCCACGGTTAAGAAGTGTACATCTGCCCATCAATCTCCAATTCTGACATATTTATTTCCTCCACTATGTCTCCCCCTGGATTTAAACACAAACGGTAACCATCTAAACTAAGCTTGTTATTCCTGTTTGGTCCTTGAATCTGTTAAACATCTTCATTATGCTATATGCTAATTTACTGCTCTCACCCTCTACCTATATGTGCGGATTGGTAACTTCCATTTCATTGTATCTGAAGAAGTGTGTGTGCACACACTAAAGTTTATACTTTGAATAAAACTTTGTTGGTCATAAAGGTGCCACTGGACTCCAACTTTCTTCTGGTACTTCAGACCAACGCAGCTACCCACCTGAATAAATGAGTCATTCTTCTGTCAACTGATGATCCTTGCTAGCAGAAAGTGCCAAACTTATTCCCTTCTCTCACCAGGATGTCCAAATACTTGCATAACTCTAAACCCAGCCCCTAGTTCTAAAATTGAAAAGTGGGGAAATATAATTCCACTAGGCACCCCCAAATGCTCAGGTGCACCTAAAACACTCCTTTGGAACCCCAGCCATTTCGTTTGATTCTAATGAACCAAGCACAAGTGTTTAGGACCAAATCTGAAGCAACACAACTTATAAAATCACCACAAAGCTTAGACACAACTTGATGTACAGGGCAGCCTGCAGTTGCAGCATAAGCCAACCGCGGCCCCTCTTGGAGGGGAGCCCTCGTGCCACTTACACACACTCTTTAACATCCAGTCTTACTTACTATGATGCACTGTACTGTGGGGCTGTTTTCGAAAGACTGTCTGGAAACCTGCCTCTGGTCAGCCTACAGTAGCCAGTATTAACTAGGATGTCGGAGAGAACATATTTCAGTCGTATCAGTAGAACTTCACTCTAGGATGTCGGAGAGAACATATTTCAGTCATATCAGTAGAACTGAACAGCGAATCCTGTAGCACCTTAATGACCAATAAAATTTGCAAGTTATGAGCTTTCAAGACTCAACGCTCCCTTTGTTAAGACTCCTGAAAGCTCTCGCACCTCAGGAACCTGCTCTCCAAGAGGGGCTGCAGTTGGCTTATGCTGCAACTGCAGACTGCCCTATACATCAAGCTCCTTTCACCAGACCCTTGGAAACTCAGACCCCATATATCTTATTGGGTCTCTACGATGATACTGGACTCGATTCTAGCTGTTCCACTGCAGCCCAACACAGCTACCCTCTGAAACCATCTTCATGGAAGGTTTGTTTCTGAGCACTTCTGGTACTGATCTATAAACCCTAAAGTGACCTGGGACTAGAGCATCTTAAAGATCACTTGCTCCTATATGGATCACCCTGTAAACCAGAATTCATTGTGGGCCCTTGTTGAGTGGCGTGCAGTCCTGTTCTGGGGTGAGAAGGGCCTTTTCTGTGGTTGAGCCCTACTTCTGCAACTCCTGCCCAAATCAATCTAGTGCCTATGGTAGAGTCTTGCAAGAGCACGATCAAATCCACAGTGCTTGCCAGTGATCTTATTAATAGACCAAGGACAGCTATTTTAAATGGTTTACAGCTGTACTGCTAGGTAGTTTAAATCTGATACTACAATCTTTTGGGTTATTGATTGGAATTAATCATGTCAACCCCCTTGAATGCAGTTTTAAGAAAAAGGCTTCCCTTTATTTTCCTTACACGATGCATGTAACCCCTCAATTTTAAGAACGGAAGACCGGTCCAAGCTCAACTACTGTTTGTACGCTGCACAGTTTAAACCCATGGTTAAATAATAGTCCTGTAATGTCAGACTATTTGAGATAGCCATCAATTTTGTGAAATAGCTGTGCAAACCGCATTAATTCAACCAATTTAA